ATAAGTTCAATGAATACAGAGGCTGATGAATATGAATGAGCGAGCAAATGGAAAATAGGAATTTTACAGAAGAGCTGTAAAAGAATTTTAGCTGCAAAAGAATTTTACAGTCTTTCTAACTGAAGCTGAAAATGGAAACAGGTTACCCCACAGTTTACCCACAAAGCTTGCAATATGTTTGTATCCTTGCTATATATAGATATATATACACACACAGCAAATGCAACTTCACTACAATGCTAAAAAAAGAAGTAGAGGATTAGAGTAGTGAGTGGGCTGTATTCCATCTCAGAAAAGATTAAACTTTTCTTGGACCAAGCGAAAGAGGCACTAAAGCAAGAAATGACATTGGGCGGGGAGGGGAGGTGATATGCCAAAAGCAGAGAACTGAAGGGGACCTTACTCTGTAGAAAACACTGATGAAGCAGAAGCAAGATATTCTGTGCTGTTAGAATTTAAGAAGAGCTTTAAGACCATCAAGAATGCTCTTACAGTGGGAGACCAGGATAACCAACACATAAAAGATAGGAGCACTTCAGAGCAGAACAAATGGAACTGATACCTGTAAATGGATAAAGAGGAGAATTGTAATAGTTTGTGATTAGTTAAGACAAAGAACCAAAGGTAATGGGCACTAGATAGATAGGATGCCTTTTAAAACAGGGGTCCCCAACCTGTGGGCCACAGCCCACTACCGGGCCGTGGCCTCTTGGCTACCAGGCCATGTGAATGACTGGCCAGTGTGCGCACATGTGCACTCCCCATTCGCGCTAGCGCTGTCCTGAGCGTTGCGTAAGCGCTAGGCTTGCTCCCAGCATCGCGCAGACACTAGGCCCACCTCCAGCTTCGCATGTGCCCTCACATGTGACACACACATGCACGCAGCCCCATGCCTACCCATTCCTTTCCCTCCGGGCCGCCAACCTAGAAAGGTTGGGGACCTCTGTTTTAAAATATATTATTTTAGAGTCATAGAATCATCAGGTTGGAAGAGATCTTAGAAGCCTTCTAGTCGAATCCCCAAAATCTTCCAGAAGCACAGATTAGGAATGTACCGTAATGGTACACTGCCAAAATTCAGTAGACAGGAACAAAAGATACTGCTATGAGGGGCTCCTACTTCTTGGTCTTTTTTCCCCTTGTTACAATAAATCTTGATATATTATTTCAATATAATGATCTTTCTATAATATACTTGAATATTATTGACATTCTATTCTTTAGATAACTACTGAAAATAGAGAAAAAAAGAAAGTATGCAGTCAATATATAAAATTTAGGATATCTACATTACAACTTTATTTAAGTTGAATAAAATATTAAAAAACACTGACTTGCATGACTATTTCTTAAAAGGTTTTGATCTTCAATTAATTATTTAATATTAAAGTCTTTTTGTAAATGGAGCAAATTTAACAAGAACTAACAGACCAATAAAGGTAGTCCTCCACTT